GGGACCAAAAAGGGGCCGGATTTATGAACAGTAAGGATCAAAAAGGGGATTTTTTCGGTATAGGGACTAAAAAGGGGCTTTTTCCTATAGTAGAGGGACCAAAAAGGGTATTTAACCAAGAAAGTATAGAAGAAGAGCTTGTTCAATGATTTATAGAGGTTCGGCCCAACCACTTGGAGCCTAGTCCTCTACCTTGGCTTCACTCACCAAGGATTTCCTTCACACTCTCCACTAACAACAACAAGGGTGGCTTAAAGGAGCCACTCAATCCTTTTACAAGAATAAGGGTGTTTCTCTCAAATCCCACCCCTTTACCAGATAAACCCCAGAGATCCTCTCTACATATCACTCTTGAAGGAATCAACACACCCCCAAGATCACTCACTAATAGCACAAGAAGAGGATTACAAGCAATGATCACTCAAAGATCAAAAACTCAAGTTTAAGCTCAACTAGGTAGGTAAAGATATGCAATACAATGCTCTCTAAACTTGTTCATATCTGTTACCAATCATATTTATAGCCCCATGGTAAAAAATAGCCATTACTAGCCGTTGGGGGTCATTAAATGCTCTGCAGGATGCAAGGCTCGAGTTGCAGAACTGTCAGGAGAGCCGGCTTAACTTCCTAGAGCCGGCTATTCGGGTTTGCAGGCCATTCTGTTTTCCTCGAGAGCCGACTGCAAGACTTTGAGCCGGCTTTGGAACTCCGACTTTAAATTCATTAAAAAATCTTCAAATGAGTCGACCGTTGTGCATTATATGCACCCTCACAGCCTGCTATAAAGTTGGAGCCGGCTTTGTGTATTTCCTCCGCGCGCGCCAAACAACGTTCTTCAAATTTTTGCCTGTAGAGCCGGTTGCAACTTTCAAGAGCTAGCTCTCTGCAATTTTGAATCCTTTTGGTCTATTTTTAGTGCAATCCAAGTTTACTTGCAATCTTTTAGCAAATTAACTACACACTTAAATAAACCAATTAGTCACTCAAATGTGTTTTGTAATCATCAAAATTATAGGTACAACAAATTTCAGATCAACAATGGCCTAAAAAATACTGTTCGCATTTAGAAAATTGAAAAAAATTAGGTCCTCATTTGTCAATATATTGAAATTATTTTTAGATCAAAGTTGGTATGAAAATCTATGGCCTTAGGTAGAAAAATGAAACAGTTTAGTCGTTTTGTGTCACTATGCTAAAAATATTTTTAGACCAACGTTGGTCCAAAAAATTGGGAGCCTTATTTAGAAAAATTAAAAAAATTTATCCTTCTATGTTACTATGCTGAAAATATTTCAAACCATTAATGGTTCGAAAATTAGAAGGTATGTTTCAACTATTACCACTATTCGAAAGTTATCCAAACCAACTAGGGTTTGAAATATAACTATCTAACAATAAAAAAAATTATTTACTTAATATATTATATATCTAAAAAAATATATTTTCTATATGCAAATAGTTACACATTATAAAAACT